AAGTATTTTAAACTGTATAAAAAAAATTGAAATCAATTGTGAAAATCCATTCCTTATATAGGACGTTCTCTCCTGTTGCTCTAATGTATTTTTAAAATCTCTCCACAAAATTTCAATTCCAATTGAAGAAAACTACTATAAACAAAATTAAGCACATGCATGATTTAATATTATAATCATGTATTTATTAGAATCTGGAGTCCAGAGATCCTTATTTTGTCAATAAACATAAATTCATCTAGTGATGCATGCATGTAAACTTCCATTTATCAAAATTTTCAATAAAAATGATCATATATCAAAATTGTATAAAGTATCAACAAATAGATCTTCAGGTAAAAACACAGCTACGTTTTAAATATATTAATATTAATATCTTAAGCATCAATAAATGAGTATTACTTTTTAAAGCTAAAAATTTTTTTAAAAACAAATTGTTTGTCATAGAAAATATGTTTGTAAATATGTAAAGATTTGCTTCGCTTTTTAATAATTAACAATTTATGAAAATATACTTTTATGGAATTTTTTCTTGTCTTCCATCTATATTACCCACAGTTAAAAAAAAGAAGAAAGATGCTATCTAAATCGTTATGAATTTGAACAATTATACTAACATTATCACGAAAATTTATTATTGCATTTCTGAGCATAACTATAAAAAATCCATGAAAAAAAAAATTGAGACAAAATTTTTTTTACATCCTTTTTGAAGGCTGAATTGAATGGTGGTGGTTTTTTAAATCCAACATGTGGATCACATAATGATCCATGATCAGAATTTATATACTAATACAATAGGTCTGGGAAAACCTATTGCCAAATTAAAATGACAAACCATAAATGCCTTAGTTTTTTATAATTATGCGAATCAATTTTCCAAACACATTTAAAAATTATTAAATAATGAAAAATAGCCAAGGACATATTAAATTTGTCTTTATTAATTAAAAATATTTAAAATGAAGTTTTGTATACTTGACATACTAAAATGATTATAAATTATAATGCTTTATCATCTACTGCGATTAATATTAGAGTAAAACATATTCTCAAAAAATAAACTACTTTTTGTGGTGTAATACAGTGCAGGACACCTAATCCCGCAACTTACTGCGCCACGACGACGAATTTTGGGAAAAAATTTCCAATCAAAA